TGCGGGCACGCCTTAGGGTGCCGGGCGCGCATATCTGCCGCGAGCTTCTCATAATAGTAGTCCGTTGGAGGCTCTTCGATCATCTTGTCGATATCCCAGCTCTCCACGATATGATAGCTCGGGCAGCGCGCCGTGTCGACCGCGTCTGTTGGGCGCACTGCGTCACTTGCGCCTCTTCCAGCCGTGGCTGATCCCTCACGCCAACCAGCCCAGCGTGGCCCCTTGCGCGTCCTAAAGACCGCGAGGCGTTCGGTGACGGGAACTTCGTCGCTGCACGCAACGCTTTCCGCCACACGCAAATCCCTCGTGTCCCAAAGACGCCACGCCTCACCTACGCGCTGAAGCAAGCACGTTTCGTAAGGCGCCTTCTCGACCGCCAGAGTCCCGATGTCCTTCTGCGCAGGGCGCCTACCCCACACAGACGCGTAACCACCCGGCGCCTCCCACCAGCTGTCGACGCTTGGAAGGTGGTCCAAGCAAGTAAGCACTCCAGGCTCCTCAACAGGGCGCCCAACCGGGCCGCTCCCGCCCCACACCGAAGCGAGAACAGTCACCGCAGCAAGGACCGATAGCACACCGATCCTGGCGCCGGTACGCAGCCGCCCAAAGGACCGCGCACACGAGGAACAACCTTGGAAGCTTCTTGCCGCGGCCCTGGACGCGGACCCGCAAGCAAAGCACGGGTCGTGGTCAACCGAGGCAACGGCGACCCCACAATCCGCACATGCCTGCGGAGACGGCTCCGACTCGAACACCGTCTCAACCGCGCCACAACCACAGGCCGCAGTGCTAACGAGGCCGGAACGCACTTCCGCAACAACCTCGCCCGGCTGGAGAGAGTGGTCACACTCTTGGGCTGCAAGCAGCACAAACCCTTTACCCTCTCCTGTGGGCCAAAGGCCTGGCACGGCCTCGACCCCGCACTCAACCGGAAGCACTACCTCGGACAGGGATCCCTCTGCGGAGACTCCTGGCTCCCGCACGACTGGCACCAGCACCCCGTCGCCTGGCGAGAGCTCGAGCGGCTCTTCCCCGTCGTAGCGGAGGAGCTCCCGACTTCCGCCCCCAGGCTCGGTGCATGACGCGTCGTCCAGGCTCGACAACCGCGCTTCGAAGGCGTAGGCCCTGTCCTTCCGGGTCTTGCTGTGATCCTCACATCTGGGCATCCTGATTCCCAGCGTGTCGAGGACGTGAAAGTCGGGACCCGGCCTGAAGCCCAGGCCCATCCTTCCGGCGCAGTCCAACGCTCTGCCGCCGAGGATCAGTCCGTGCCAATCGGACGTTCCCCTGGCTGCGATTTTGCATCGCACGAAAATTTCAGTGTTGGGGCGACAGTCGTCCGCCGTCCTGCCTTCCAGCAGCGTGACGCGCAAGACTGCTGCCCCCTTCAGAGGAACGGGGGCTCCCGAAGCAATGCCATGCACGTATTCGGGGTGGACCCACTTCTCGAGTCTCACGACCGGGAAGCCGGGATCTTCGGTGCCGATCCCCAGCTCTGCAGCCCGGTTCATCATGCCCACCACGAGTTCCTCTGTCACGTGGTTTGCGCCAGCGCATCCGTCGAGCATGCACTCGACCTTATCGAGCACCTGGACTACCGTTCTGTACTGGTAGCCTCCTGGCTCGTTGTCCGCCAGGTTCCACCAGTCCTTCGGCAGATCGTCCAGGGTGGCGAACTTGTCCCGCCCGCCCTTGCTCAACGGAAGCGCGTGCTGCTGCACCGCGGCGCGTCCTGCGGCTCCTGAGACGCCTGCCTGGACGCCTGAGCTGCCTATCTGGACACTGAACGCGGCGAAGGGGTTAGACATGGAAGCACCGGAGGGCGCGGCCCAGTTGGCAGGCAAGGCCGGCGTCCCTCCTGAGGTCGTCAGGTTGTGGACCATGTCGCAGCTGGCTCCTTTCTTGCACGACCCATTCTTGGAGAAAAAGGGGCAAACAGTGCCTGGTGGCTTTGCCGCGCCTTTGGCCGCAGCCTTAGGCTTAGCGCTGGCCTTTGCCTTGCCACCTCCCTTCCCCTTGCCCTTACCTTTCGCAGTGGCAAAGGTTTGGTCACCCTTCTTGGCCGCGAGAGCTTTTCTGCGGAGCTCCTTGTCGTGGCTGTACGGGCAGGCATCCCCTTTCGGGCAATTCCCGTGGTCGCGAAAGTGGAAGCAGATCTTCTTGTCCGCTCCTTTGCCAGCTCCCTTCGACGCAGCGGCGAACGTCTGGTCCGCGCCAGCTTTGGCCGCGGCAGCTGCTCCCTTCGCAGCAGCCTTGGCGGCGGCCTTGAGGCTCTTAATCTCCTTCTGAGCCTCGGCTAGCGCGACCGACGGGTCCGCGCTCGGAGAGCCGGTCGCTGAGTACACAGAGTGGGAAACCGCCCGGTGCGCTGCTTCCCTCTGTTCGTACTCCAAGACGACTTTGTGGCTCTCCTCCCAAGTCTGCGGCCCTCGCAGCCCGCCATCCTTGGGATCGCCGGGCCACAACCGCTTGTCACTCCGTATCTCCTTTTGGAGATACGGAGGCATCTTGCGGAGGTACGAGAGATACAACTCTCGTGGGGTCTTCCCGAGACCCACCGCCTCAAGGTCCGCGATCGATGCCTCAAACAAAGGCTCGAATTGGTGGCCTGTGAGCTTGCCCTTAGCGAGGGAGGCATGCTCACCATCCACGCGGACTTCTCTTTCCTCCCGCGACTCCCCGAACATCAAGTGCTTGTTCTTGATGCGGTCGTACACCGCCTGTGGATCGGAGAGAACCTCTCCCGACTTCCACGCTGCGCGGTAGGCGTTCGTGTACGTCTTCATGCGCGAGCCGCGGCAGCGCCCGCGTAGCGCTAGCAGCTTTTCGCGCGCACTCATACCGCGGCAGTTGTTGGCCAGCGCGCAGACGTCCTCGAACTCCTCGTAGAACAGGACAACGTCTCGCGCGTCCGACTTGTCGTCGGTCAGCGTCGGCCACGTGAGGTCAGTTTTGACCGTCGTTATGGAGCTTTGCCCGCCCCTCTGCGCCAACGCTTCTTTCAGCGCTTCAGTTTGGGCGGCGAGTGCGGCGGCGAAATCGCCCGCCGGGTTTTGGGACCCGGTCTGCGAACCTCCGCCGTCTGAACCTCGCTTCAGGGCTTCTATCTCCATCTCCAGCGCCGCGAGCTTTGCGCGCAAAGGGGAATCGCCGTCCGTCGCGCCCAGGTCACGGGCCGCGGAAGGACCACCTGCCACCTCAGCAGTGTGCAAACCTCCACGGTCCAAACCTACCCCCAACCCACTTGCGGTCGCAGGCTGTGGGAGCCCTGGGGAACGCGGCCCCACGGCTTCAACTGGCACATCGGACGGGGAGCTCCAAACCTTCTCTTGGCTCGAGCTTTCTTTCCCCCCTAGCGCGAGGATAAGCTCCCCGATGCATTGGATTTCACGCTGAATCTCCTCTGCGTCTTCGGGGTCCTCGCCACCGCGCAAAGCCGCGACCGAGAACCTGGTCCGCAGCCGACGGACCATCTTTGTCGGATGCCAGTCCCCGCCTATCTTGGAGAACTCATCCGCAAGGAGGGTGGCTTTGGTGCTTAAGGCGTCAAGGTCACGGGAGCTCACCGTGACTCCATGCGCTTTGAGCGCGAGGACAATCCGCGAAACGCGCGTCAAGTAGTCCGCGACCGGTTCTTGGTTTGGACGGAAAATCGCGCGCAGCTCCGCCTGCGAGCCCTCTGCGGTGCCTGGCACTGAACCTGCTGTCGACGGCGGACCGGACGGTCCCGCCGGGCGGGACCCTGGTGCCGTAGCAGGGACATAGGCAGCACCGGTAGGGACCATGGCCAGCTCCCTAGCCGCGGCGCTGACGTCCACCCGCGGCGGACTGTCGCCTCCAGCGCCCGAGGCCTCAGGGACTAGCTCGGAGTCCTCTTCTTCTTCCTCTTCCTCCTCGTCCTCGCCTTCGGCGTCATGGAGGAACTTCATGACTTTTCGCCAGAGGGCTGCCTCTTGCTCTGGCGTTGTGCTGACCCCATCCCGCTTGGACAACGGACGGCTGCCGGTCTCCCTACGCCACTTAAGCCAAGCGACGTAGCTCATCCGCTCGGGATAGGGAACGTCACCACCCTCGATCGCTTCGAGGAGGGTGACCCCCTCGGCCTGACCTGCAACCTCTGCGGACATCGCCGCGCCTTGGTTAGCAGGCTGCAGGCGTGGCACACGAAGCGCCGCGCCTTGGTTAACAGGCCGCAAGCGTGGCACACAGTCCACGCGTCCAGGTCACGGACCGCGACAGACAAGCAAAGCAATGCTTGCCCACTCGGGCCGTAGGCACAAGAGCTGTACGTTTCCCAGAACAGCCCCCAATTGTGAAGTCGACCAGCACTGGACTTGCACTAAGCCAATGCAATCACAGCCCGGTCACGCTGTTTTACGACTTCGCGAGTTCAAGCACTTGCGCAGCTACGCCTGAGTGCGTCCGGTCGGACCGCACAGCAACCTAAGAGCTACTGTACGAAACTACCGTGCTCAAAGGCACAAGCTCGGTACTTGAGCCAAAATATTGGCATTGTTACGAATTGCAAAACTACACATGCAAGGGAAAACAACAAGCTGCACTAGCACTAAGCAAGCACTCCATGCATGCTTTGACCTGCTCACAATATGTATATATATATATACATATGTATATATATATGTATATACATACACATATGTATATATATATATATACAGATGTGTATATATATATATACATATATATAAATATTTTAATTTGTTCGTAGATGTCGTCATGACACGTCTAACCCTAAAACCCTCAACCCAGGGTCCCTGAAGTTCCCATATCGCCCTTTCGTTCCCTTATCGGGTTTATTCAGGGTTCAGGGGGGAGAAAAGTACTTACAACCCCATTTACAAGTCTATTTGCTTCCTTACAGGGTTTATTTAGGGTTCAGGGGGAAAAAGTACTTGCAACCCCATTCAGGCCTTTACCAGTCTATTTTTCTCTGTGCCAACTTGGATGGGTCTCCACTCGTAAGCCCAAAATGATCTGAGGCAAGAACTGGAGGATCTGTATCTTCTATGCCACGGGTATTGTCTTCACATTGGCGCTCGCGTGGGCAAAGCCTGGGGACTTCAGCTGTGCCCCAGCGGAAGATACAGAGAGGGGTTTCGGGTTTCAGGGCTTGGGGTAAGGGATCGAAATAGTTAGTAACAGTTTTCCCTTACGGCCCTTGCCTATATAAGCATATGGGAATATCCCCCCAGAACCTTATTCCAACTGTTAAGGCCCCTAAATAGGGACCCTAGAAGGGCCAAGAATTTTGCTAACCCCCATATCCAGCTAGAGAAAGCTCCTGTTCCAGGGTTCCTTGGCAGATTTTGGGGGTTGCGGTCTTAGACAGCTCTGGACACTGATGAAGTCGATGCGGGTAACCGTCGGCCGGTAAGTCCTGGGCCTCGGGTTTAGGGTTTAGGGTTTAGGGTTTGGGGTTTAGGGTTTAGGGTTTAGGGTTTAGGGTTAGGGTTTACCCGATCTTCGGCGTATCTCCGCAAACCCCGTAAACTCGTAAAACCCGACACTTTGAGCCCATAATGTCCGAATCCAGGGTCATCCCTTGTAAACCCTAGTAAGCTCTAGACCCCAAACCGCAAACCACTATTCACTGTCTAGGCTACCCCCTCAACCCTGAACCCTAGGCCCCAAAATGCAGTAAAGACCTCATGCCAAATCGCTTCAGGTTTAGGGTTCGGGGGTTGGGGTTTGGGGTTTGGGTTTAGGAATAAGAGTCTTTGGAGTTTAGGGTGTAGGTCTTAGCTCAGGGGATCTAGACCCAAAATCCTAGATTTCTTTGCGCGCCAAGGCACTTTCCGCATCAACTGCGACACCGAGCCCCGGTCAGGAGCAGATCATCCTTTCTATCCTCTTTCAACACACATTAGGGTTTAATTAGGGTTTAGGGTTTAGGGTTTAGGGTTTAGGGTTTAGGGTTTAGGGTTTAGGGTTTAGGGTTTAGGGTTTAGGGTTTTTGCACACCTCTTCCTACAACCCTTAGGACCGGAGCAAACCTAAATCCTAAAAGCCCATTTGGACTCCACGAGCACAAGGCCACACCTGATTCTGTTCTTTTAAAACCTAAGGGTTTGAGATTCTAAACCCTAAACCCTAAACCCTAAACCCTAAACCCTAAACCCTAAACCCCAAACCCCAAACCCTAAACCCTAAACCCTAAAACCTAAACCTTTTGTCCTTAGGCTATGTGGTGAGTGCACGCATGTCCTTCTGGGGATAGGATACGAATCTTGCATTGGGATGTTCCCCCTTAACATCACAGTCCTTAACAGGGATTATAGTCTTAGTACCCCTACTACAACCGCTATTAAGGACTGTGCATATAAGGGGGAACCCTAAACCCCAAACCCTAAACCCTAAACCCTAAACGTGGGCTTGTTGGGGTGTAGGGGCTTTAGGTGAATTGGGCTAGGGTTTAGGGTTGAGGGTTGAGGGTTTAGGGTTTGGGTGTTTGGGTGTTTGGGTGTTTGGGTTTAGGGTTTAGGGCTTACATCAGGAGAGCGAAACATGCTTGAATTAGGGAGTTCTGAGTTCACCCCAAACTCCATGGGGACCCTTGTTCGGTATATCCCCCCAAAAACCCTAAGCCTGAAACCCTAGACCCTCTGAAAATTTCAGGTGGCCTCGAAGCGAATGCGCATCCCGCTGATCAGCAAGCCTGCCGGGGCCCCGCAACTATTTCTCGATTGCGCCCCTCAGGGTTTAGGGTTTTGGGTTTTGTGTTTTGGCTTTCAGGCCTCAGGGTTGGCAGATTTTTTAGGGTTTAGGCTTTAGGGTTTAGGGCTCAGGGTTTCTTACCCCCAAAACCAAACCCCTCGAATTCTAGGGATGAGGTCTTGGAGACGGGTTTCCAGGGTTCAGGGCTTGGACGTGGAATTTTGTGCTTGGGAAACTTGGGTTGGGTTTGGGGTTGGGGTAGCCCTAGACCTGAAACCCATGGGGCTCCAAGGGCTTTTAGAGTTTTACATGGTGGAATTCTTTATATAGAGGGTTTAGGGTTTAGGGTTTAGGGTTTAGGGTTTAGGGTTTAGGGTTTAGGGTTTAGGGTTTAGGGTTTAGGGTTTAGGGTTTAGGGTTTAGGGTTTAGGGTTTAGGTTTAGGGTTTAGGGTTTGAACAACTGCAACACAACAAAAGCCCTATTCTCAGGTCTTACGTAGCCCTAACCCTTTCCAAGCGGTGGCCCTGCCGATGCCAAAAGCAATACTCCCGCTGACACAAGCGACGTGCCACTCAGCGAGCCGTGCAGAAGATGGAGAAGCAGAGGGAAGACGTCGTAAACCCCAAGCCCTAAACCCGAAAATACCCGAAACCCTAAACCCTACTATACCCTCAACCCTACTGTACCCTAAACCCTAACTAACCCTAAACCCTAATTATCCCTAAACCCTAAACACTAAACCCTAATCAACCCGAAACCCTAATATACCCCAAACGGGGGAGCCTTGGCGACGCCGATGAGAAGAGTGGGGTGCCTATGAGGACGTCGCCCGAGGAGTTGGACCTCTTCCGCCACAGCCGGCGTGCAAGCTTTTTGGGGGCGATGGGTTTAGGGTTAGGGTTTAGGGTTTGGGGTTTGGGGTTTAGGGTTTAGGGTGTATGCATCTCCAGGACCCAAGGACTCCAATACCCCTTAGTTGAGGAATATCCCTTAAATGAGAGCAGGGCCCCTTGTATGGGTTTAAGGAATGTTCCTTAAAGCACACTAGGGCTCCTTCGGCGGTTTAAGGAACATATTCCTTAACTAAGGAGAAAACGGAGTCTCTGACAAGACACGACGTTGCTCTGGAAGACCATGTTCGCAAGATCGTCACATGCAAGAGGTGCTACCAAGAGACGATAACACCCCTTAATTGAATGGGGGTTTCCCAAATTCGGGGTACCTTGCTGGGGTCCTTATTCTAGGGTGATCCGAGTACTTGGGGGTTCTTTGTTAGGGGTCCCCAGAATGGAGGAGCTCTTGTGAAAGTGCGTTGCAATCACTCAGCCAACAGAGATCCCGTCAAACAGGCTGTACATGCTTAGGGCTATGGTTTAGGTTGCACCTGAGGCGGGGACCCAGTTGATTCTTTGCACTGTTTGCATGCCCTGCGCGACTTCCCGTTTGTCCGAGAATCCTCTATAGGGTTTGGGGCTGAGGGCTCAGGGTTTCGGAGGGTTTCCCGAAACTTTGAAGATTCTAGGCGAACAGCTGCAGGTCGCGGGCGTGATTTTTTCCTGCGGCAACGTGGGTGGCTGCTTCCTGGGCCCACAGATGGTCAGCTGCAAGAGCGAGGACGTTTCAGGGCTCTGCCCTAAGCTTCTAACCTTGAGCCACGACCCCCTGGGTTCAGGGTTTAGAGCTTAGGGTTTAGGGGTTAGGGTTTAGGGTTTAGGGTCAGGGAGGTCTAACTCCCAGAGTTGAGGGTTCGGGTTTTGGGGTTGGGGCTTCTACAGCTCATGTTAGAAGGGCTTTGCGTCAAAGCAGAGATGTATACCTGGAACTCTTTTACCTACAGTTGAAGACTAACTACCCTGAGAGGAGTGTGAGGATGAGATTCGTGTATGCGATGTTTTGTTGAAGGTCGCAGAGCTCCTAGACCACAATCTGCGATATTCAGGGTTTCGGAGGATGTTCGCAGACAGTTTAGGGTTTCTTGTTCTGATTTTAAGGCATTTCTTGGGATGTTCCCACTGAGACCAACCGTCCTTCATAGGGATTTTATTAGGGGGTACTAGAATCCCTATTGAGGACTCTTAGTACAGGGGGAATCCCAAAGCCTTTCCTTGATTTAGGGGTTTTGGGGTTCTTTGGGAGCAGTAGAGACAGAGTGGATGCCTCACTTGCGGGAGGCTGGCCATTGCATCAACCGAAGGTTTAGGGTTTAGGATTTGGGGGTTTAGGGGCGAAACGGTTTTGACGAAGGATCTATTTTGACTAAGGATCCTACGGGCAGTTCGCTAAATTAGGTTCCCTTTTTTGGCGCTCTTATAACAAGCACCCCCCAAAAAGGACCCTAATTTAAAGAACCACCCATATGTCCCTGTGCCTAAACCCTATAAATCCAAACCCCAAGCCCTAAACCCTAACCCCTCAAGCCAAAACCTCTAATTCCTCCAGGATGGGCGCTGCTGGATTGAGCCGCCTACTGCCGCCCGTCTTTGTCTTGAACGGGCATTGACCCCACAGAGTCTTCAATACCCCTTGGCTGCGGTTTAGGGTTTAGGGTTTAGGGTCTTAGGGTACTTAAGGAATATATGGGTTTGTGTTTTTTGGGGGGCTCAGGTTTAAGAATGGCACACGGGTTGCACGCCCGCGAAACATACTACCCCCGAAACATACCCCGTAACATACCCGCGAAGCATACCCCGACCCCAACACGTGTCACGCGCCTCCCCATTAACATACAAACCCATATCTTTAGCCATATAGGAGTTCTTCTTATGATGTGAGGCATATTCCTTAATTGAGGTGTCTTCTGGGCCTTTTTGGGTGAGGGTAAATCACTGAGGGTTCGCACAGGCGGAGGTTTGCACATAGGGCAGTATGGGCCAATGTGCTTAGCATAGCGGTTTTGTTATTGAACCCGGCGCCCTTAAGCCTACCTAAACCTGAAGCCCTTCATTAGGCTCCCTTCATTTAGGCTCCTGCATTATTGCACAACAGAACGCATTCCACCGAGGCAATCCCGCACCACACATTGTCAAGATTGAATCTTCGTGGCCAGATTTCCTTAACCAGCCTTACTAAGGAATATACCGGGTCATTTTGTAGATCCGTTGAACCAATCACAGTACTGCGGCGGGACGACAGTTCAGCTCACTCGATTCAGCGATCATGACACCCTTGCAACCCTTGCTGCAACCCTCCCTCCTGCAGACTACTAGCACCGCAATGGCAACATAACAAACTCGGGCGTAGCTAATTGGTAGTATACTCCGCTACTCCAGGTGCTTCGAAGCCTTGTTCTTCCCGATGTCATGAACAGTCCTTAATAGGGATGACAGTACCCCCTACTATAATCCCCATTTAAAATGTTAGCATAAGGGGGAACATCCCAAAGATTTATCGTTCTTTCCTTCATTCAAAGGCTATACTGGAAGATCTGGGTGCACAGCAAGTTGGCTAAAAACCGGTTTGGGGTTTAGGGCTTAGGGTTTAGGGTGTCGGGTGTAGGGTTTAGGGTTTAGGGTTAAGGGTTCAGAGTTTAGGGCCACTCCGCGTTGATCCTCGCGGCGGGCCACATGGGGATGAAGTCGTAAATGTCGGGCCAGCAGCAAAACTGCATGTCCAAAATGGGCAGGGGCTTTGGCAAGCCTTAAACCCTGAACTTTCGCAGGGTTCAGGCTTGAGAGTTTAGGGTTTAGGGTTCAAGGCTAAACCCTAAACCCTAAACCCTAAACCCTTAGGCTTTAGGGAAAGTTTAGGGTTCCCTAACCCGAAAGCACCACCCAGGGCTTCGGCCTCAATGTCAGCTGGAATCCACCCCCCGGTGTGGCACGGCCTGAGGCACTTGACTGGCTGGCTCTTAGTAGGGAATGGGGTTTAGGGTTTAGGGTTTAGGGTTTAGGGTTTAGGGTTTAGGGTTTAGGGTTTAGGGTTTAGGGTTTAGGGTTTCTAAGGCCCTAGTTCCCTTAATATTCACCCTCTCACCATCGTTCTATCCCACTGGACTTACCGCCTACGGTTCGAGGTGGCGCAGTTCTGCTTCACGGAAATACCGAAACCCTGAATCATGTTGTCTCACGGAATGGGCAATGATGGGATCTGCAGAGGTCGTACTGAGGACAGGCGTGCATGAAGGAAGGGTTTACGGTTTTAGGGTTTGGGACGTAGAACTGTTTCATGCATGCATCATGCATGACCACCGTTGCTGGCTATAAGTGGCTGAAGGTGTCACAATCAGGTGCGAGTGTCTGGCAGTCAGCGTGTCCCCTCATTTTAGTCAGCGTGTGCCGTCCTTTTGGTACAAGAAGTACGCAAGCATGCCAAGCATTGCCGGCTGCTTGTACATGAGGGGGCACAGTAGCCGCTATGATTTGCTGGCTCTTAGAGCCACAGAAATAGACAGACGAGGTAACTGGTGTACCTGGCAGATAGCTCGGCTGCCTGTGCTGTAGAGAGACGACTGTTTCCAGCATGCCTTTCCGAAAACCCTAAGCCTCAAACCCTAAACCCTAAACCCTAAACCCTAAACCCTAAACCCTAAACCCTAATCCTCTTCCTGCCCTTCTGCGCAGGCGCCGTTCAAAGTCACTCGGCAAGTAGTTTGATCATTAGAGTTTATTGGGTTCAGGTCTGCCTAAGCTTAAAAAACTCCGAGCCCTTAAAGCCCCTAAGCCATGCGGAGCTCCTAAGCCTAAGATACCAAAACCCTATCCGGTATACGTCTAGAGCTCCTAAGCCGATATCTTCTGACCCCAAAGCCCTAAACTTCCAAAAACTCCGAAACCCTGAAGCCAAAAACCTGAAACTCCCAGACTTCAAGACGTCAAAGCTCCTAAACCCTAAACCCTTAATCCTTTTCCCCAAACCCTGAGCCCGATACCCTGGTTTAGGAGGCACAGAAGCGGCAAACTGCGTACCATCGCGTACAATCAGTTGCACATAGCGTCGTGGTGGCAGATCAGGTCCTGCTCAACAGAAGGTACATGATGCTCCCCCAATTAAGGGCCCATGGGTTTAGGGTTTAGGGTATAGGGTTTAGGGTTTCGGGTTTAGGGTTTCGGATTTAGGGCTTAGGGTTTAGGATACTGAGGGAGAGTGTCACTCCCCAGAGAATGACCTTGAGGGCCCCCTAGGCCTTTTAACCCTTAGAACCCTTGAAGCCCTGCACCTACGTACACACACACCCTGAAGCCCCTTATCCCCTAAACCTCTAAACCCCTGAGCCCTAAACGCTAAACCCTAAAGCCCTAAACTCTCCAGAATCCCACCCGGCCTTCTTAGGCGGCAGCCACCCTTATACCCTTTACGCCCCAAAGCTCCACAGCCCAAGACGCGGGACGAGAAGCGGGACTTCTGCAAGCGTCATCCGTTGCTTAGACGCATCCAGTGGCCCTTTTAGAGTTGAGGGTTCAGGCAGGGTTTAGGGCTTAGGGTTTGGGGGTTTGGGGCTTGAGGGGAGTTTAGGGCTTGTGTTTAGAGGTTTAGGGATCTAGACTTACCCTAAACCCTAAACCCTAAACCCTAAACCCTAAACCCTAAACCCTAAACCCTAAACCCTAAACCTCAAACCCTAAACCCTAAACCCTAAAACCCTAAAACCCTAAACCCTCAACCCTAAACCCTAAACCCTAAACCCTAAACCCTAAACCCTAAACCCTAAACCCTAAACCCTAAACCCTAAACCCTAAACCCTAACCCTAAACCCTTAAACCCTGAACCCCCTTAAGAGGGCCGGGCCCTGAGCCAGCACAATGCTTCCAGAGACCTGTCACCTTTCCAACCCAGAAGCCTTCCAATCCGAATTCTGCGATTCTGTTGTCTCCGGGCCCTGGGCCCTGGGCCTGGGCCATACATCTCTAAACCCTAAAAAGAGTTCTATATCCTAAACTCCAAATCTAATATCTCGGACCCTAAACCCTAAATCTCAAATACCGAAACCCCTAAATCTCCAGACCCTAAACCCTGAACCTCTTTGGTTGCTTTCTTTTTTGTTGGGGGGAAGAGGGGAGGAACCCTTTAAGGGCTCTTGGTTTGTTTTTGGTGTAGGATTTCTGGGGACCCCAACAAGGAACACGTGCGGGGGGAAGGAAAAGGTACACCATTGCAGGGGGGGGGGGGGGGGAAAGGCTTGGGGTCCCTTGTGAAAAGGCGCTGACTTTTTTGTTTTGGCTTGGGGTTGCTAGGTTTGGAGTTTGTGGCGTCATTGCTAGCGCATTGAGCACCCTAGACCTAAATCCTCAGCCCCAAGCCCTATACGGTTTGGGGGGTAAGGGCCTCCGGCATTAGTTTTTATGGGTATAGGGGTTTTCCCTAAACCCTACCCCCTAAACCCTTTTTCAAGCTTTCACTGATGGATGGGACTTGTGCCTTGCAGTCTGCGCAGCCTGCCGGGGGCGGGCTAAACATACCACCTCGACATTAATATGGGAGTTTACACAATAAGGGGCCCCAACAATAGACCCCCCAATATGTAGGATTCCCTTACAATAAGGACCCGAATAAGGTACCCCCTCTGTTTTTCGGAGACCCCCCTATCCTTCGAGAATTAAGCTGCTTGACTGCATGAGCGAGAAAAGAAGCTGTCCATGGCAGACTTCAGAACACCCGAGCTGGTTGAGGTGGGCGCG